GTGTTCGGCTCGTTCGTTAAGAAACGAACACGAGCTTATTTCAAACAAACTAAATTTTAAACGAACCGAACACGAACACAAGCTTTGTTCGTTCGTGTTCGGTTCGTTTACACCCCTAATTTGTACTCATAAAATTACAAAAACATAGAACTCATTTGTAGGTTACAGATAGTTTACAAAGAGGTTACAGGAGTGTTACAGAGGGGTATAACCCCGATATAACCCCTTATACCCCCTGAATGGACGTACGCAGCGCTGCATACGTCTTATGTAAGCAAATATTTTCCTGATTTTGGGGAGGACTCAAAAAGGATTTATTTATTTGAGACACTTGTAGTTGTTTAAAGAAATAAAATAAAATTGTATGCTAAATCATTTTGTAAAAAGCTACGACGATTATTATAAATTTATTTTATTTTTAAAAACCCAAATCTAAACTTTTTAACATCCACTACATTTTTTAAAGGCTCAAGTTGAAAAAATAGATTTCTACCACAAAAATTTCTAAAAAAACTGCAAGAAATCAATTTCTCGTTGCAACTCGGCGATCTCCTTTGTCACCTACTCGGTTTGATAAATTTAAATTTATCCAATTTGACAAATCCTGTTTAATGTAAATCTAGTTGGACTTACTTTTTAAGCCAAATGATTCGATAGAAGATAGACAAAGTCGAACTTGTCAGTGGAGGCTACAAAAATTTCCGAGATCAGTGATTGATGAATGCAGGGCACAAAGCAAAGATGCCATCAAAGAAAATGAATCGTTTTCATTAACTCTATAGAATGAAGCGCAAGGTTTGTCCAAATTCCAACTGAAACGAAGATTTGAGAAGACATCGACACTCGATGAACATCTTTAAGCCACCACAAGCCAATTTATAGACATACCTTCTGATTTTTACCTTTCATTTTTGCACAATTATTCCAGAAACTTGTCTACAAACTTGATGAAGTTGAGGATCATGATCTTGCCATCTGGGGTGATGATGCTCTCCGGATGAAACTGTACTCCCTGTTAACAAAAGTGAAAGAAAAGCCCTCAAATCACAAAGAAGGATGGCAGGGTATTAAAGCTTGAAGATATCAACGAAAACTGTATTCATTTTTATTTTATTTATGTTATAACATAACATTGGTAAAAATATATTTGATATCCTTATGCATTTATTAATGATATAATAATATTTATAAATTTTTTACGCTGACCCACCACCCCTGCCAAAGCAAGCATTTTTTCTTCATAACCGGCGGTTATCTCCCTCCCGCTACTGCATTGACGGCCGCAAAAATCTTCAACTAAATTTGGAAGTCAAAACTGCCATTGGAACTTTTTTCAAACTCACATATGATTGAACTCCCCATATGATTGGATTTTGGAAATAAAGCACCCGGTCACTAGCAAAGTAAGTTACACAACTGACATTGGGACCTTGAGTTAAAACTCCTCCGCTGAGAGTTAAGAGTTTAGAGTTACAACAACAACAACAACAAGAAGCTTTTTATTCCACTAAATGAGGCCAGCTAAATGAATATTTTTTCTCCATTGCATCTTAAAAATTAGAGTTAGGTTGAGAAAAAAATCAAAAAATATTTGAAACACCTAAATTTTTTTTTGACCGTTCTTAAAAATCACTAAATTAAATTCTCAAATAGAAACAAAAACTACTTACCAAGCTTATTATATATTATCATTAATGAATTCCAAAAAATACTAATATTATGCGATGCCAAAAAGGCTCTTAAACTTCAAAATTTGAAGATTATGCATGTACACTAATTGAATAATGTCCAGGTAGTTTGAACAAACTTGAAATTTCATGTTTTGGTTCCATTCTTCATTTTGTTTCCTATCATCTTAATGAGTATAGAATTTAGTCAAATAAATGGCAGAACAATATATAATCCATAAACAATAAAATTTCATCTAACCCTAGCAATTGGGATAAGACTGAAGAATTTGATAACGCTCCCAAATAGTTGAAATAAAGTAGTGACGTGTAATCCTGATCTAGCGAAGTTGGCCATGAACAGATTAAATTTAAGGATGGCATTCATAAAACACAAAGGCCGCCTACTTTTCTCAATAAAAAAAAAAAGAAAAAAAAAAACGGCAGTTGGTTTACCTTGATATGCTTGTATTTCTTGTGGCGAGCAGCCATGATTAACCCATCTTCAGTCCAGGCGGTGATTTCAAGCTTGTCCCCTGGGAATGTTTCTTTCTCAATAACAAGGCTGTGGTACCTACATGCAGAGAAAGGGCTGCAAGAGGATGAAGAAATTTCCAATTAGACAATAATATTGATTCGAGATGAAATTAGAAAATAAGCAAATCAAATGAACAATAACAGTCGCCCATTCCTTGCCAATTGCCAATGAAAGGGATTATGGTGTGGTAGAAGGATCCAAATACCATTAACAATAAATAAGAGTTGGGAAATAAGAAAATACCGCTGTGCCAGCAGATGATTGCAAGGAGTAGAAGCCACAAGGAAGATAACCATACTAAATCTTACAGCCTAAAAAAGTACCATTTTCTTCTCTCATACATATAGTGCTATTCTAATCCTAATGCGGGAAGAAGTGTTCTACTCCCCAAAGCCCGTTCTCCTTCTTTAAAGGGCAGGCCAGAACCAATCACCTTTAAAGGTCAGAAATTCAGGAAGGTTTGAGTTGGAGAGCATGGCTCAGGCAGCATCAAAAGCTTCCATTTCAGAGCAATGCAAACAGTAACAGTAAGGCTATGTTTGGTAAAAATCATTGAATAGAAAAGGAAATAGTCATCGAAATGATGAAAGGGATTAAATAGGAGTTAGATTTCACCCACTTCGATCAAGAAGAAATTGAGTTTTCTTTCTTCCATAATTATTTGATGAAAATTTAACTATGCTATGACAATTTTTTTCTTCCCATTCTTCACTAGGAATTGAGTTTTACAAGGACCCGAGATATCACTATGAAACAAAGTAAATGTTGTGATTGGTTTGTAAGATTGGGAAAAAAAAATGATGATTTTTAGCAAAATGACAAACCTCGCATTGAAAAGATATTTTTATTTTGAAATAATCGAAGAAACAAGTATTTTAAATGCTGAAAAACTAGATGTTTAAACTATAACGCCATAACATAATATCATTATCTTTGGATAAGAACAGAATTTAAACAAATATTTTGACATTGCCCATTTAGGTTAAGCTCTTCAAAATAATAGTCGATTTTTTTCTTAAACACCGTCAATTATCCTCCTAATGATCAATTTCTGAAACTCACAACAAAAAGAGTATAAATTAGCTTTACATTGATGGTCAGAGATAATTTTACTAATGGACAAGTTACGAGACAAATTAAGAACGTAGAGTACAACGTAAAGAGTTAACAACATAGTGAGTTTGATCGTTCATATCAGATCAATTATCGAGAGAGAACCATGAACAATTTTGACCTTTTATTAACTACACAAGGTTTATAGAATGGAAACATTTTAGAGCAACCAGTCATATGACTAGTCACACCACAATCAATTATCCAAGAATGAACAAAATTAAGAATAACACCTAACAACACAGTGGCTAGAGAGTTACCCTTTTGTACTAACGAGTAAGACGGAATTGGGAATTATTTGGGAGATTAAAACAAATTCTTCAGGTACTCTAATTGTTCCTTGGTGAAAGGGCCTACATCCAAATTTGCAAAAGGTTCTTTAGTTTTCTCGTCATTGGCTTGATAGACTCGACTTTCTCGTTTAGATTTTGATTTTTAATTTGCAGGTTTATCATGAAGCTTTTGACATATCTCCTTTGTATTTCATGATTTTTTGCAATGCTTACACAACCATGGGTAGAAGAAATTGATTTTGAAATTATCGGAATCGACAGAAATGATGGAATTTCTTTAAGAGTCGGTCATTGCCGACTTGTACGACGTCATTAGAGGAGAGATGAGGAAGAGAAAGAAACCCGAGTCGATTTTAATCGAGTTGATTTTGGCTAAGAGTTATTTTTGCACTTAAATCTGCAGTAGAGAGTCTGCTAAGAAGTCTCAAAGAAATTGAGGGGCTCTAGATCTATTGAGTTTTGGAGGCCTTCGCACATCACAATCCCGTTGACTTGGATGAAAGGGCAGAAGACATCAAAGATATCCTACGTATCTGTCATTGTCAATGGTGATGAAGACAGCAGTGAAGAGCACGACGACAGTGCATACAAGTTCATATCAGAGCTCATCAGTAACGAAGACCGCATCAAGAACTTCATTGTCTTTGACCTTGAAGATGACAAGTGGCTACCCCGTAAAGTTCTAGCGCTTAATTAGGTCTGAGCTCAGTCGTGTGATTGTGTGCTCTTGGGCGTCTCTATGCGACCACTGAAGCTTCGGTCACACTTGGGCATCTCTTGGAAATAGAGAAAAGTGGCTTCGCTTCATGGGCTGCTCTAGACACTCGTAAGCATTGCGATGTGCGAAGGTTAGTGTGCTTCTACACCAACTCTAATGTAGCGAGAGTCATGATTTGAAGATCCTGAGCATTGATAAGAAATGATTAAAAGATAAATAGAGGGGGATGACTCCCACATTAGGAAAACCATAAAATCATCCATAGCTCCCCCTTATAAAAGAAGGAAATAGGAATTATAACATATCAACAATACTAAGCTCTAAAAACAGAAAAGACTAAAATAAAAGACACTAAGAAAATAAAATATTCCTAAAATTTCAACAACATTTATTAATCATTTTCAATTGCTACATATTTTTCCGATATCACTACTTTTTACAAAATGTCAAAAAATCTATGAAAAACTAAATACCAATATTGTCTATAGGATTATTATTAATCATATTAGCATCCATCTTAGAAGTCATTATCTTATCGAACAATAAAAGAAACTTTAATAACAAACCGTTTTTATTAGAAGTCATTATCTTATCATAAGATGACTCTCTACTACATCTTAGGAGTCATTATCTTATCTTAGTATAGAGGTTCCCAAAGAATTCATTCTAGAGATGTTTCCAATAAAAACGGTTTGTTCTTGCATATTTCTACCGATTTTCCAAATTAAGACCGCTGGTACATATAATTCAGAAGAATATGCGAGTGATTCATACACATCATCTCTTTCTGTTATCAAGGGCTCTACCAATTGATATGTTTCCACAAATAATTAAAATTCAATTTCTTGATCTCTATCGTCAATTTTTTGAAACTTATGAAATTCTTCCGTCAAGCCCTGACTAATGAACCTACAAAATCCCTCAAATTGTATCTGACTGAATCCAGGTATTGTGGACATTCCCTCATTTTCATTCTGAAGCATCTTAATCTGAAGTTCCCTCTTTATTGAAAAAATCTCATTATCGGCTTTTGGCTCACTATTCATCGAACCCTACCAATTGATCTAGCAATGAGGGAATGGATATTCTGTTTACTGAATCACATAAAATTTTAGTCAACCTCATCCATATATATCGTATGAACGAAAGCAAGACAGAGAAATGAAGGGTATTTTCGATGCAAGTTCGAATTTGATCTTGAGACAGGTACAAATAGAAAGAAATGGAAATTAAGAAAGCATTCCTGGGAAAAATTCTGTCACTTAGGCTGATGGAGTCTTTTATCGGATATAAAAATTGATCCAATTTAGACTTAATACCTAATTCTTTTATTATGATATTAATAATGATATTATGATCAGCGTAAAAAAAAAAAAATCAATGAGTTTAGGATTTAATCTGCTCTCTATGAATGAGATAAAAACAGAAGAATCAAGAACAGCATAGAGTTCCCCTTTTTTTTTTAGCACAAGCAATTGAATGTTCAGAAAGGAATTCACAAATCTTTTTCTTGTAGTAAAATTTAGAAAATACAATGGAATTGCGTACGTATATAGTCATAGGAGTAATCTTTAGGAACTACATGACGATATAGCTATCTAGCTATCCGTATATCACATCTTTTATAAGAATTGAACTTGGTGCAAGGTCGTACTCTATCATAATCTCTATCTTCATATTCATATTTAATGAAATATTCAAGCACGATGATCCTATCTAGGGATATGTGCATAAGAAAGAGACCCGGCTTGGTATCCACGTATAACAATTTCTTTTCTAGAGTTTACACTTTTCTGGGGTTTACATATACACATAGATTTTCTTATAATTAGATAATTAGAATTGATCATGTAATTGATAATGATTAGTCGGAAATCATCGTTCCATTGACATAGATAAAAGCACTATGCTAGGATGATGCACGGGAAATGGTTGGGATAGCTCAGTTGGTAGAGCAGAGGACTGAAAATCCTCGTGCCACCAGTTCAAATCTGATTCCTGACATGTTAATAATGTATCGGATAGATATTTCTTAATACCTCATACAAATGAAATTAATTCATTAAGACGGAACAAGATAGATATTCTTTACTTTCTTTTTCATTTTTTTTTTATTTTAGTCCCTCCGCAATACAAATGAAAGTCCAGTTACTTTATTTATGCAATAAAAATTACTAGCTATTTAATAAATAAGTTTATACATGACAACATGAATATGTACAATCTATACCAAAGAAGATACATGTATAGCATCAACATATGAGTAGAATCTTTAGCTTTGCATTTGATAATCAAAATTTAGAGGCTTCAGAAGATTCAACAAAACGGATTAACTTTAGGATAAATAAGGAACAAATCCAAAGCAAAAAGAAAGCATATATTAATACCATCCTATTCTAAATACTGTCTATTGTATATTCATACCCTCAGTTACAGCACATAAAAGTTAAAACAATACCATTAAAGGCCGGAGGAACTCAATTAAATTATACCTTCACAAGTTTGATGAGTATCTGTTTTGATAAAAACTGTGTGCCTTTGGCTTTGGCTTTGACATAAAAAAACGACACAGTTTTGGGCTCGAATATGGCTTTGAAGGTCATGGAAAAACTACTATGAATGAAGAGCACGACAAGATTTCAGCTTCAAAGATGGCATCAACAATGGTTTTGATGGAATGACAATAAAGAAGAAGTCATTGCTTCTGTTATTATAGAAGTTAGTCAGCTATGTTCAATTATGTTTCTTTGGTTTCGAAGAAGCAGAAATGAGAGAAAAAGAAGAATATACGGAATTGTCTTGTAGATAATTTGGGCAAATACAATACTATAGGTATTATTTACTTCATGAGTTTTAATTTTAAGTGCTTCGTATCCCCCCATGTCTGATAAGCACCGAAGACTAATCTCACAATAAAACAACAGACACAA